TATTATGAAAGACAACTGCTTTACTTTTTTAACTGTTTTTAATATTTATCAGAGATTGAATCTTTATCACTCTTTCCTTCAAAAGCAAGAGGATATATTCAAAATGTGGTTCACAGCACATTACTTCCGGCAATGGGTGGTTAGAATTTGAGAACACTTGTTATTGAACTTATTTAGAACAGCTCTTGCTCATCACTAATTCCATATCCAATAATACAGTGACATACTAGCATGGAAGTCTAGTGCTATAGAATTTATTGTAACTTGCATTTGTTTTGAAAATCTACTGTACATACATCTTCCAAATTGCCCAATACAGGATTGTATAGTGCACTAGAACACCTGACAATAATATGTGTTTAGAGCAAGTTATTAATTGAAGAAGCAGGCAAATCTGTATACATTATTTGTTCACTTATGATGTAAGATAGGACTTGGGCGCTGTTCCTATACAATGTTAGGTTTTGTATACATGGGGGTTTATAATTTACTATTATTAGTATTTGATGATTTTCTGAAAATAAGATGTAGAGCGGGGGTTGGCACGTGAAGGCATTTTGCTTGGCACACATGCCTTGGGGCAGATGGCAGGGAAGGGGCTGGGGCTGCGCTACCACAACAAGAATTGAGCCCCTTGTGGCTCTCCTGCCATCCGCCCTAAGGTGCCCACGCAGTCACTGCTGGCAACAAGCCAGGCTCCACAGACCCCAGTGCAGTTGCTGGCAGCCTCCCCACTGCCTGCTGCTAGCAGTCAAGGCTCCATGGTGGGCAGCAGAGGTCTGCCCAGAGCCCTAGCCAGCTGTGGCAGACAGCCAGGAGGCTGCAAGCAGCTGCACTGGGGTCTGCAGAGCCCTGGCCTGATTCATTGCCAGCAGCAGGTGAACGCATTACTCAGGGTGGATAGCAGGCAAGCTGAGAGGGGGCCCACTCCTTGTTGTGGCAGTGCAGTCCTAGCTCCTTTCCTGCTGTCCACCTTGAGGTGTACGTGCACCCACTGCCAGCAATAAGTCAGGTGTCAGGCTGGGGCTCTACAGACCATGGTATAGCCTCTTGCAGCCTCCTGGCTGTCTGCTGCAGCTGGCTCAGGCACTGGCCCCTGCTGCCCACCTTGGAGCCTGAGGCTGCTCGCAGCAGGTGATGGGGAGGCTGCAGTCAGCTGCGCTGTGGTCCATGGAGTCTCATTGCTGGTGGTGGGTGTGCACTCACCTCGGAGCGGACAGCAAGGATGGGACTGGGCTGTGCTGCCACAACAAGGATTGGACCCCTTGTGGCTTTCCCACCATCTGCCCCTGTCATACTAACATCTTAGAAGTCAAGGTTGTGGGTGGTTTTGGCACCCTGCCCAAAAATGTTGCTGATCCCTGTTGCAGAGCATGTGTTAATTATCTAAAAAGGAGCTTTTAAGTTCATTTTCTCTCCTTCCAACTATAAAAGTACCATTCACAAAACAGGCAGAGGTACTGGTTCCTGCTCACCTTTCAGCGTATAGCCCACTTGTTAGGATATACACCTAGGATGTTGAGATCACAGTTCAAATTCCCTCTCTGCCTGATTCACAACAGGGTTTTGAACTGAGGTTTGCCCTCTCAGGTGGCTTTCCCAACTGGCAGGATGCAAGTCAGTGGTTTTTGAGAGTTCTCTGCCCCTTTCACAGTTACAGTTTTGTTGCCTCCATCTTTCTGTTCTGGACAATTGAAAAAAGAAAAAAGAAAAACAACTCTACACTATTCCCTAGGTCACCTGGTCCCCAGTGCTGCCCCAGTTGACCCATGTGGTGTGTGTTGGACTGGTCCTGCATGCAGGGCCTAGGATACCGCTTGCATGCAGTTCTTGCTCTGGGACCCACAACCTTGGCTGGTCTGGGACAGTGCTGCATGTGGCCCCCATTCTAGCCAGTCCAGAATGCATGCCACGTGACACCTGCTTCAGCCCATCTGTTAGCCATGCTGTATGTGGCATCCCCAGGACTGGGTGCCACAAGTGGCATAGTCCCTGACAAGCAATACAGGTGCCACATGCAGTGCAGTTCCTGGACTGGCTGGAGTGGGTGCTGCATGCAGCTGGGGTCTTAGCCCAGTGTGGAGAGGAAAGGAGACAGGGTACCACATATGGTACTGATTCGAGACTGGGTGCCACTGGCGCTGGATCTGGCATGGGGAGGGGAGTCAGTGAGTGCAATCCAAACCATGGACCAGCCCTGCAGTACTAATCCAGCCTGCAGGGCCAGATCAGTTTGATACCCCCGCCTTAAGTTATTGGTGAGGTTACAAGGAGGTTGGATATATGTAGGTACATATCTATATGTGTATATGTTTTCCTGCTTTCCTGTTCCTTCCTCTTGTGTACCCTCTAGAAGTACATACCTAAGTTTGAGAAATGCTGATGGAGAGAAACCCACCACAGAATACCCTCTATCACTCCTGCTGAAGTGGTTCTGCTCTGGTATGTAAAATATTTAAATAGTCACTTGACCAGAGAGGAGGGACTGGTGTTTTCCAACCAGAGTGCCGTGGTGCCGTGGAACGCCTTGAGATTGTTTCAGGTGTGCTGTGGGGTACTACACAATGTTACTCTCAGGTGTGCAACAAGATAGACCTAGAGATTTCAAACAGGAATCTACAGCAGCAAAAACATTCTGACTTGTGGTCTTCCTGAGTTTGCTGAAGCAGAATAAGTGATATATTATTTTTCTCTTGTCAAAAGAAGAATCAAAACTAAAAGCTGACATTTTCTTAGCAGTGCCTCAAGTCTAAAAGGTTTAGAACCACTGCTCTGCTCCATAACCTGGTAGTTAGGCATTCATTTGAGAGATGGGGCAGAGGGGTTCTAGTCTCTGTTCCAGAAAGCATGTAAGTATTTTATAAAGTGGAATATTTTGAAGAGGAAAGAAACACAGAATATCCTTTAGCCTTGTCTCAAGGTTGGAGTTCTGTGTTCAGATACATTCTCTGCACAAGACAGAGGATTTGAACCAAGGTCCCATGTGAGCATCCTAACCGCTGGGATTGCTGCTGCTATCTTCTCCGTGGTATTGTTAGCCATGCTTTGCTTTTATTAAGAAAGCACAATATTTTTTTCCCCCAGTTAGACAGAGATTGCATACAATTCTGGTTTTGGGTAGATCTGAAATACTTTCTTTTCCGTTTGTACCAAGAGTAGTCTGGCAGGAAAATAAAAATAAAAATGGGTGAGAGCAGGTATGGCTATACCATAAAACATTACCACACGTGAGCAGTGCTATTAACAATGGCTGGAGATTTTTCTTTAGTCCAAAGGTCAAGGCATTTGTTTCTAATTTGCACGTAATTAGAGAGTGATGAGAAGTTAGTCGTAATAAGACTTTAAGAGGACTTCAGGACTATACATTAATGTGCATTTCTGAAGTAATAGTTGTTGGAAAATGTTGCAGATCCATTCGCTATATTTGGGTATTCACTACATTTGGCTTGTCTTGGAACAGAAACTCCAATAAAAACTTTATGATAGATTGAGGACTTCACATGGAATCATTAAAGTTTGTCCCCAAGTGGTAGGAACTTGAACTCCTGAGAATACAGCTACTTCCTCAAGCATCTGGTAATATCAGATATGCTAAGGCTCTGAAATTATTTAATTGTCTAGTGTCTGGCTCTCGGATACAAATCTTTACATAAATGGTCTGTAATGGAGCCTTTTCTTCAACTCAGGTGGTAAGAGATGATTTTAGGAACATCTATCCTCAAATAACCTATACCAACATCACTGTGTGGTGTAGCTGACAAATGTGCTGCTTGTACCCACACATCACACAGATTTTTTTTTATAGGCTGAAAACAGCTAATGTAGTTTGTTTTTTTTAATGTGAGAAGATGTACTATCCATGTTTTCCCTTATGTTCCACTTATGTTGCTTACTTAATATTTTAAAAGCCTAGCTTACATACAAAAGCAAAAGTGACATCAGTAGTTGCACTTTTTTTGTTTGAGAACTGTACAGGGATGCTTTCAAAGAGAATGCTGTTTGCAGGGCATTCTGGTGAGAGTGACAGTCTGGTTGCTGGTCATGAGCCAGGACCAATGCTATGACCTCAACACATGATGAGGTGCCACAGATGGTCCTGCAGTTACAGCGCTGGCACAGAATGTGGAATGATCTACTGGTAATGGGTAACTTCATAATACTTTTTAAGGTGTGCTGAACTGATACAGATTTTACCATCAAAATATAGAATTCTTTAGCATTTTATAGAAGGTTTAAATAACTTTATTAAACCTTTCAGTTTGTTATCTTTAATCTATTGTAGTATACCTTTCTTCCTAATTGGTCTTTAAAACTCTTCACAGTATTTTCAGGTACAATCAGAATTTATTCACAGAAATGTATTCATCCTTTTCATAGCACCTGACAAAGTAGGCTGTTGCCAACAAAAGCTCGCGCCTCTCAGAATCAGTCAGTCTCTAAGGTGCTACCATGTCCTACCTTGTGCCCGATTTCAGACTAACACAACTAAAAACATTTCCAGGATTGGAAATCAGGAAAATAGATTTCAGGTAGAATAAAAATGCATATACTACAGTCAATTAAAGGTACTTATCGAGCTAGATCCTAGATAATTGTACCAAACCCCTTTGAAAAGCTTTTTTGATTAAAGCATACTGTAATATCTTTCGGTAGTACTCTTTGAAAGTTCTCTGGGAATTCCTGTTATAGATGTGCAAATAATAGAGAAAGCTGCTATTTACAGAGAAAAATCCAAGCTGTAGTTGGCTAAGTTACAGGACGTGTAATAGAAAACCAGTTGTTGGATAAGAAGGATTATATATGAATAGTTTCAGCACTCAGATGTGTGCTAGGTACCTTTTGTCGACACTGCTAGATATGTCCCATGCCCTAGAGCAGGGGTGCTCAACCTCCAGCCTGCTGGACAGATGCAGCTAGCAAAGCCATTGCATGTGGCCTGCGGGGTTCCCTATGGGTCAGGAAATTTGGCAGGGGGGAGCAGTGGCCATTAATATAGCCACCTCCTCTCCTGCGAAGTCCCCAAACCCCAATCCCTGCACAGCTAATCAGAGCCAGGCCATGAGCCCCCTTACCCCACAGGGCCAGGCCACATGCCCCCAGCTTCTGGATCAGGGCCAGACCATGCCCCCTTCCCCCTGTAGGACCAGGTTGGGTCCTGGCCATGCCTGCCATGGCTGAGACATGCCCCCTTCCCTCTGTGGGATTGAGCTGGGGTCTGGCCTGCCCCTTTCCCTCTCCACAGGCCCAGATCAAGCTGCTTTTCCCTGAAGGGCTTCACTGGATCTAGCCTATCCCCCCGTTCCCCTCCATGTGGCCAGATAATACCTGCTGTGCCCCGCCCCCCCAGGGGCTGGATCTGGCCTGTGCGTGGACTGGGCCCTTCCAACCCAGCTTGATGGGCAAAAAAGTTGGGCACCACTGCCCTAGAGAGCTTACAGACTTAACATTTCAATAAATTGTAACTAATATTAATTATAGCAAAAAACAGCAAGGAGAGGAATGGAAAGGGGAGACAGGCCAGAATAATAATGGCATTTTAGAAACTAAAGGGTACTTAGTGGTGGCAAACCAGAAACTGGGACTGGAATGAGAGAAAGGGGATAGAAGAATATAAGGATAATAAGCATAGTTAGGTTTTCCCTCTTTTTTTCCCCCCTCTAAGGGTCATGGTGAAGTCTTTCATAAGCATCAGTGGTGGCTAGTCACTTGGGTGTGTTGTGTATTTGCAGCAATTTGTTAATCTTAATATATTATGCCAAACTCCAATACTTTTGAGTTTAGCCAAGGTTAATTTTTGAATAATTAGCTCCTTAGATTTCACTGTGGAATTTGCTAGTAATAAATTTGTTCTGGATGGGCTTCATTCTACACTAGTCCCAAAGCCCATCTTTTTGAAGAAAAATAGAAAATACCACATATTGAGGCAGCCAATATCATCAAGATTATTTGCTCCATAAAACTGCATAACAAATTTTCAGTAGTCTGGGGGCAATATCAGAAACTAAGAACAAGGTCTTTCCATCACTACAGAGCATCAGGAAAGCTGCAATGTCTAGGACAGTTCTAGTCTGAAAAATGATTGGTCAGCTCTAGTCTGGTCCCTTAGAGATGACTCACTTAAAAAAAAAAAAAAAAAAAAAAGTAATCTAATTTAAAAGGTTATAAAGTAAAAAATGAAGGGAGGAAATCTTTAGTTTTAATAGGAGGCTATCATTCACAGTCATGAAAGTGCTCATATCCATGTACCAAACGGACATAAGAATGCCAAGTAAAATAGAGAGGCTAAGTACAGGCGTTCAAGAAGCCTGCGGCAGAAGTGCTCTAACTTTTGAGCTTTACTCTGAGTCCCCAAGGTTAGGTCAAGAGCAAACAGAACACCTGATAATCCTTCAGTAGGGCAGGGCTCAGAGCCTGCCTGCATGGGCAGAGCCCAGCAGATAGGGGGAGCCCTGCATGCTTCCCAGCGTGCCCTGAAGGCTCCTCAATGGAGTGGGATGGCTGAGTCACCCCTGATTGGTTGCTAGGCATGGACCACCTTGCCTCCAAATGCCTGCTGTTGTGACTTGCACTTGCCTTCGTTTCCCAGCCATCATACCCAAGCAAACAGGGAGACCCAGTAGACTATGTGAGTCTCATTGGAGGCTGCAGGATATTATGGCTGCATACCTGGACCTGATGCAGCAGTGGCTTGTCACGGCGCATGCCCTCATGGCCACAAGTCACCAGCTGGCCATCCTGTGCATGGTTGCCCAGTGCACCCTGAGCCCACCAAATGCATGCCTGTGTGTGTGTGTACCCACATGAGATGCCAGGGTTACATATGATATGTGTGTTGGATGCCAGGTGGCAGTGTGCGTGCATGCATGAGTCGGATACCTGGGTTGGGTGTGTGTGCACGCGTGCATCGGATGCCTGGATTGGGTGTGTGTGTGCATGCATCAGATGCCTGGGTTGCGTGCATGTGCATGTGTGTTGGATGCCTGGGTTGCATTTGTGTGCGCGTGTGTATGCATTGCATGCCTGGGTTGCGTGTGTGCGTGCAGATGCACATGTTGGATGCCTGGCTTGTGCGCATTCACGTCGGATGCCTGGCTTGTGTGTGCGCGCACATGTGTGTCGGATGCCTGGCTTGTGTGTGCGCGCACATGTGTCGGATGCCTGGCTTGTGTGTGTGTGTGTGTGTGTGTGGAGGGTGGAACATCTGCGTTCTGTGCAGGTGGGGTGCTTGGAATAAGTGTAAGGGCTGTACCTGTTTGCATCAGAATTTTTTAAAAGAAACCCATACATCTTGTAAGGGCTCTTATGAATGAATGTCTGCACAATTGTAGATGAAAAAGAACTGTCTTTAGAAAATAGATTTACCTGTACTTTATGAAAATGCTTTTCTAAAGTTCCTCAGAGGACTGGTAAGGAAAATAAGCAGCTATTAGAAGGTAGAAGGTGAATTTACTTTCTCAGGTTATAAGCAGATTTAGAGGGAGAGGGAGCGCGTGAAAAGGCAAAAGTAAGAATTAAATATTATATTGTACCATAGTTGTATATTAAGAAAAATTATGTTTGATATAATTGGTCAATGAATGTGGTGATTTGTGAGGTGGCAAAACTCACAGTAAAACCAAATTAAGTTAGCCAAGACTAGAGAAGTGTGTGAAGAACTTGAGAGAGACCTAGAAATGTTATGACTGGCAAAATGATGTTAGATGAAATTCAATATTGACAAAAGCCAGGAAGGAATTCCTCAGTTGAATGAGTAATAGCTAATACAACTACTGACCTACATTATAGGGTTCTCTGGTAACTAACTAGTTGTGATAAAGATCTCCTTGTTTTTAATATTGTAAGTTGTAAAAGGAAACAAATGCTAGGTTATTCAAAAATGGGATATAATCATTGATAGTATGTTTTAACTTTATCATAAAAATCAGTGGTAGGCCCATACCTTGAGCACAGTGTTTACATGGAGTCACCTACTATCAAACAAAAAAAGGAGAAATAGAGGGATGCAGAGACTGACAACAAAGGTAGGGTATTGAAAACCATTCATAGAAAGCAAGACTGGTGAAATTATCACCATTTATTTTTTTCACCCTACACTATAGCAAATGATAAATGTACAGTATGCAGCATTTTCAGTATAGGGAATGCTAATTAGGTGCTGCTATTTTGCCCCTTTTAAATGAAGGAGCAAGGGGATATGTAATGGAATTGAAAGGTCATAAATATAAAGTCGATATAAGGATATATTCCTTCATACAGTACAAGTTCATTTTCCTTTATAAGTAACCTGTGGCATTATGGAATTCATTGCCAGAAAATATCACTGAGGCTAAGAGCTTGGCAGGATTAAAAAGGTAGTGGATGCTTGCAAGTATAATGAGAACATTCAGGTTCCATTAGATAGGATTAAAAAGAATTCTTAGTGATATAAACATTCAGGCTTCAAGGCATATACTAACTACCAGCTGAAGGGGCTAGGAGGGCATGTTATTTCACTGTAAGGTTTCTTCCACCTTCTGTCAAGCCATCTGGTACTGCCTATGACAGGTAGGTTGCAGGATTGGATGGATCACTGTGATCCATTATGACAATTTCTGTCCGCCTGTCAACGGGAGTTCTGAGATTGATGAAAAACAATGTAAATTTCTGACAGCAGAAGGCAGAACTTTTTTGATGGATTCCACTGTGCTATGGAACTGTTGCTTAAAAGAGAAAGGTAGGACTGACCCAAAGTTAGCTGTTTTTAAAGCAAACTGAAACCTTCTAATAAACAGTCTCTTAAGGGGAAGGGTGAATAGCAACTCGACATCCTTTCTCATGAACAGATGAGGAAAATATAAGAACACAATAACAAGTGACGGAATCAAGTGACGGCATGTTACCAGCCGTATTTAAAAAACAAAAACAAAGCAAAACATGTCTACCTGCAAAGTTGGCCTTTATATGCAGGGTGTGTGTGTGGGAGGGGAGGCAGAGCAGGGATATGGAATGTTAGTTTAAGGATGTATGTAGACAAAACGGGGACCCTAAATTGAAGCGGTGGGTTTTAAAAAACACCGCTTCAATTTTGGGCTGATTAAACCCCTGTGTTATGCACACACCCCGCTGACTTACCTGCCTGTACGGCAGGGTGGGAAGGATGAGCTGCCAGCAGGTAGAGTGCTCCCTGGGCTGCGGAGGGGAGGGCAGGGCAGGGCTGGTGCTTTCCTCCGCAGCAGTGGTGGCCCCCCCAAGGCGGCACCTGCTCACAGGCACCCAACTTGGGCGGTCCTGGGGGGCACTGCAGCCACAGAGGGTAGCACTGGGCCCCCATGCAGGTCAAGCAGGCAGGCAGGCTCTGATGGTGGTGGGCAGAAAGATCAGGTTTGCTGCTTGGGCGGAGCCTGCCTTCCCAGGCTGCTGCCAGGCTGCCTGCAGGACTTCCTACAGAGCTGCAGAACTGCATGGAGCCCGGTGCTTTGCTCTGCAGCTGTAGGGGCAGCAAACTAAAACTCAGAGGAGTTTTAGTTTGCTGTGCCCCAAGTCATCTAAGGCACATTACACTGCGAAATTTCCTACAGCGGCTGGAATTAATGTGTAATACACCGCCAAGGTGTGTAAACACCAACACCATTAAAGCAGTGCAAAAGCATTTAGCTTGCTTTAAGGTGTTGTTCATGCGTGCCTCTCGTTTCGTCTACACACAGCCTAAGATTGTACTTTACTTGCTGTATTGTTCCCTCCTTTTTGCATTTGAAAAGAGCTGAATGGTGGCATGTATAGTGGGGAGGTGTACCTGAATGTTGGTATGTGCTTCTTCCAACAGTATTATAACAACAGGTGGGTCAGTGGGGCACAAGCCCCTGGCACTGCCAAAGGGAAAGTGTGAGAATAGAGCTGGGGGAAGGGCTGCTTAGCTTTCTTGGCCCAACTTCTCCCTAAGCCAGAGCTGGAGAGGGTGAGATTCAGGGTGCATGATGATGCAGTACTGCCCATGATGGAGAACTAGCTAGCTACATTTCTTGTGCAAGAGAAAATTCTGATTTCTCCAAATTTGTACTAAATCAAATTTGTTACGCCCCATGCTGGAAAGAAATCTAGTGTGGTTGTATCTTTCTAGGAACTAAATCCTAGGTAAATAATGATATCTATCCATATTTTCATAATAGTATTGTGCTGCTAATTTATTTTTTCACAAAACTGGCTGAATGGCCTACCATATTAGTTGTACTTATAGAGCCTGCCTAGAATATTAGTTTGGTTTATACAGTACAGGGAAGGTTGACAGAGCTGCATACTTTCTATGCATGTTTTCTTTCCTTTGCTAAGGTAGCTAAATAATTTAATAAATGGTTTGAAGTTCCTGTATACAACAAAATTACCAATTTTTAACATTTAGAACAGAAAATGTTGTTGCAGGTTATTTTCTAGTTTAGCTTCAGGCTGCTGCTTTGTTAACCAGTATTGTAGAATATTAGTTTATTAACCTATATATAAGACATAATGGGACTGATTATCTGTCTTTGAGGCTAATATTTTCAAGTTACTGAACAAACTGTCCAGTAAAACTGGCTTTGGGAGTGGTTTATAGGATCGGAGCAGTCTGGTGGCAACTGGGGGGCGGGGGGTCCCTGGGTGTTTTGTCAGGATCAGAGATCCTCTTCAATCCAGACAACCTCTCCCAACCCCTGCCAAGGCCCTCAACACTCTGGGGTGGAGAGCATCTGGACCTGCTGATTTGAACATGTCCAGCCCCTCCAGAAGCT